TTAAAATGTACAATTAATTTGTGGAAATAAAGTATTCTTGTAAAGTATTCGTAAAATTTACTGGTCTTTAGATAATTGGGAAATCAAATAAGAAGATACGTAAGTACCTACGATGCTATTTATCATTTTCTATTGATTGCTAAACGTGTAACAATACATTCAGTACCTAATATTTTTGAGAGATTTTAAAACACTAGTGATTCAGAACATATCCAAAAAAAAATTCTGGACAGGGGACTCTTACAAATACAATTTTGTAAAGAAAAAATCAAAAAGGGCAATTCGAAAATTATTTAAAAATACACTTCTGCACGGCACTGAAAACTGGTCCACTGTAAAACCTGACCTGGCGCAATACGACCGTCACGGAGAGAGTGATAAAAACGGGCAAAAACTTGAAAGAATTTCGCAAGGAAAAGAATAAATAGAATTTTATAGCACCTATTTTATATCAGCCGTCGTACTGGGTTTCTATGAACTAAATGCTGTCTTGTTTCACCATAACACAAATGCTTCAACATAATAAAAATATTTTCTTGCTTCACCATAAACTAAAACGATATCCATCAACTCCAAGTTGTTATACACGCAAGCCATTTTTGACACTAACTATTAAAAACTATTGTAAACATCGGATTTCAGTGTTCTGAGTCGCTGAGGCCACGTGGCTCTCTATGCGTATTACGAATGACGCTAGAGACTACAGTTGTCCAGCTATGTAATGGTTAAAAGCACTACAACTTTACTAATTTTTTTCTCGGAAACTATAAGGATTTTACAAAATTTTTCTTTACAATATTGACTCCATTTCTCATGCCGCATCTATTCCCAAATTTATTTGGATAAGTTGTGAATCACCCTGTATACAACGCAAAAAGTTTGTTATTTTTTCATACAACTAAAAACAGATTTTAATAAAAAAAAATGGTATTAAATTCATTTCAACTGTAAAACACCAGTACAGTAGGTGGCAAGTTGTTGCTAGGAAACAGTCACAATTTTGAAACTGTCACACATTTTTATCGAGTTTATCTCCTAGTTATGGTCCGTTATACAAATATTGAATTAGCAGATATATATTTTACATACGGTAGAGCGGATGGCAATGCTAAACTGAACGACTTTATAGACAGACTTTTCCAAATCGACGTCCAAAAAGGAATAGTTTTTCAAGCGTTCACTGTCGAGCTCGTGAAACTGCATGTTTGTCGCTACCAAAATATCGTGAAGAGAAAAACTTGTTCGTACAGTTCATTTGGAAGACAGAATTTTGGAATCTGTAAATGAAGACCCATCTACCAGTACCAGACGGATATCAACAGATTTGGATATATCAACAATCTGGAACGTCTTACGTGAGCAACAATTACGCCCATATCATGTCAGTGGTTTTTACAACAGTGCGAACAGCCTGATTTTCAGTTATTAATATTATTTACCGATGAAGCGAAATTCACAAGAGAAACCTTTTCAAATTGTCAATCATAATTGTCGATTCCAAGAACAGTTTTTTCTGAATGTTTGGGCAGGCATTATGGGCGATTACTTGATTGGTCCGTACTTTTTACCCAGAACCGTCGATGGTAGAACTTATCAAAAGTTTCTACAAGAAGAATTACCACCACTTCTAGAAGCAATGCCGTTGAGGTTACGTCAATTATTGTGGTATAGGCATGATGGGGCGCCACCTCATTACAGCCTTACTGTTAGACAGTTGCTGAATAATCAGTTTCCTAATCACTGGATTGGTAGAGGAGGACCCATTGCTTGGCCGGCCCGTTCCCCTGACCTGAATCTCTTGGATTGGATTTTCTTTTGGGGCTACCTCAAAACTGTGGTATATCGTACTCCAGTTTCCAATGTAGAAGTACTTTGATAGCGTATTGTAAAGGGTTTCGGAACCTTATGAGGCGTGTAAGACAAATCAATGCGGAGACGCTGCGCAGCATGCATTGCATCCCAAGAACAACATTTTGAACATTTCTTGTGATGGGTAGTGTTTTGAAATCTCTCAAAAATATTAGGTATTGTATTTATTATCACACACTTAGCAATCAATAGAAAATGATAAATAACAACGTAGGTACTTACGTATCTTCTTATTTGATTTCCCAATTATCTAAAAACCAGTAAATTTTACGAATACTTTACATTTAAAAAAAATTTCAAATTATTTTAAAAACGATGCTGGAAAAAAAATTCACCTATGTTTCGAATCGAAATTTTCGCCTATGTTCCGAATCCAAATTTTCGTCCACATTTCGAATCTGGATTTAAACTAAAACAGGCGTACCTAAATTAAACAATACACAGATTTGGCGGTTCAGCTAACACCGTCAAGCCGAATAAATCCAACATCACAGAGCGTACCGACCACTGACACACAACCGCGGGCCGCGCCCGCTCACCTCGAAACATTTGAACAACGTTCCACGCCAACGCTGATTTATTTCCCTCTTTGAAACTTGTTGCTTGGAAGCTATAACTTCTCAGTTACCCCTTATCTGCCTCCAAAGATATCGCCGCTTAACTGCAGGAAGTTTGACACGCCGTTATTTACGGGCATTGATTAAGCGAAACTTAATTGGCGTGGCGCTCTTCGAGACGGCCCTGATCGCAACCCCCGGACGTACGGATTACTCAATCAGGGCCTCTGGAGGGCGGATAGGAAAGCGTTTGCGTATATTCAAAGTACTGGAACATGGTAAAATAACAACGAGAATAACGGGTAATAAAATTAAAATTACAAAAAATTATTTGGTGTGCTGTAAAAATTGCCAGGGACATTCTGTATACTCTGTACATTTTATGGATTATCCAAACTATTTTAAAAATTATCGCACGCCAATCTATAGGGTCGTATTACTCTAACAAATAAATACGGCAGTTACGAAAGATTTTATAGTTATTTGTCAAACTACCGGTTAAATTTATTAATTATTATAGGCTATAAAAATATCAGACATGAAGTAATAAATTATATTTTGAAACGTGGCAGACGGTGGTAGATACTGACTGTAATTTTTCAAAATATTATTTATTTTAGTCCCGAAATGATATGTAAACAACACTAAAAACTACGGGCACTATTACTGTTAATTATGTATATTTAATAAAAATAGACTCATCAACATCGACAATTTCATAAGTCAAAACAAATGGTACCACTGAAAGAAATGATATTCTTTGGCAGCTGGCCAGATGAGGTCATTGAATGCGGTAAACTCATGTAAAAAAATAGCATTTGGAAATCTATTCTTCACCTAACAAAATTAACGGGCAATGATAGCAATTAAGAAAATATTTCCCTGCGATATTTGTATTCTCAAACGCAGTTTGTTCATAGGTTTCAGAAACGTACAAAATACACTAGGCACAGAAAATAAGGGATATCAAAAAAATTATTTTCAAAGAGCTGAGCTGTAACTTGGAGGAAAATAGTCGTAGATAGAATAAAAAAGGGAAACTGAAGCTTCAAGTGTCTAATTTTCAGATGTACAGTTTAACACTTTTTTAGCGTCAGCAGTTTTTGAGTAATCATAAGAAAATCAACGGACACAAAATTTTGTAAATTTTTGCTTTTTTTAAATGTCCTATGGTTTTCTTATAGTTACTCAAAAACTGCCAACGCTAAAGAATTTTAAACTCCAGATCCGAAAATTAGACACTTGAAGCTTCAATTTCCTTTTTTTTCATTCTCTCTACGACCATTTCCGTCCAAGTTACAGCTCTTTGAAAATCACCCAAAATTTTGGGATTTTTTTTAATATCCCTTAATTTCTGTGCCTAGTGTATTTGAAAAAAGAAATAAATTGTACGATAGACATTCGAAGCACTACCTACAAACGGAGTAATTTAACAATTACCTAGGTTAATTTGCATAGTTTTTTAATTATTATTTATTTATATGTATAAACACCTACAAATTACGTAACTTCACAATTATGGGAGAAACAGGAATTAATTAAGAAACCAGTTTTATAAGAAAAACAGGACTAAATAACATTATTGAAGTATTCGATGAGCAAAATATTTTTTAGCAAAACTAAATTGTCTCGAACATATTTTTGGCTTTATTTATTAAACTATACCTGTATAGTACTAGGCAGCCCAATATTGACAGAAACCACAGAGCTACTCGTCAACACTTAGTGTGTCTTTGACCGCGTCATCTGTTTTGTCCACTATGCAACACACAACTTTGACCTTGACATTAAGCTTCAAGGTCAAAACAAGGCCAACTAAAATACGATATTAAAAGGAAAGCCATAATGCTATGTCGCTAATCCATAGTGTGTTAATTTTACCTCCGACCATGGTGAAATTTTTTCTGTAATCAAAGAAAAATGACCTGATAGGACATGCAGGAAAAATTTTATGACTTCATCCTGGGACGTAAAATTTGGCGTTCTTCGATTGCTGCCATAAAAAATGCGGTGTTCCAGTGACATCGCCCTTGGTTTGACATTGAAACTTAAAAGTCAAGTTTAATCCAAGGTCACCAACATATTTATATATCTTGATATCCTACATTTATTTGGAACTTTTTTGATAGGATTTAACCCTTAAAAGTTAACAGAGTTTCAGGTCTTTTTGTGACACTCTGTATGACGGATTCAGTCTACTGATACTCGTTAAGAAAAGGACAATCTGCAACTTGTTTCTGAAATTACAATTGCTTCATAATTCACGATAGTTGTTCATTTCTTTGATCCCTCAACCCTCATCAGTTCAACCCCTAACATTTGTTTCATAGAACATCGTGATGCAAAAGTGTCACAACGGCAACTTTTCCCATGGGGAAAGTACTAGATACAATAAATGCATGTCGATGGTGTACAGATAAATGTGCATGTTGCACTTATGAAGGGGATCCACTGATTTTACTTAACAGACCACCCTGTAAGTTTGTTACAAGCGAGCCCGGGCAAGCCTTTGATCTGAGAAACGCTGGCTGGCCGCGGCCTCACTTATAAGGTCAGTGAATGCGGTAAACCCACCTGTGACGGGAGCCTCTATGTCTATCATCGTCTTCTCGGCGCGTAGCAGCTGCGCACCCTCGTTGATGATCCGCAGGGCGGCCGCCTCGTCGATGCGGCCCTCCAATATGAAGTGCTGCTTCAACACATCCGGCCGCGGTTTCGCCGTTCTTGGATCGAACACTTCGGCCACTGTCAACTTATGACTCGGTGGAAACGGTACGGCTGAAACAGAAAAAGAAAATGAATCATTCAAATTTGAAAAAATTGCTTGTGGCAACTAATAACATGGCCCTTATGCAAAGAAATAAACATTCTGGGATTTGGGATCCGGATTTGATATCCGTTTAACGAAGTTGGTTCATGTTCAAGGTTATTTGAAAGTCAACTCTTGCTTTTTCATGCTAATACAATTTCTGAGTGATTGAGTTACTTTTTCATCTTCAAGGTCATTTGAAGATCACCACCACTTGGTGACATTGGATTTTTGCATTTGACCTTGAAGGTCATTTAGATTAAAATCACTAGAATCTACTTAAAAAAAGTGAGATGATTTTCACAATCATGAGACCTTCTTATTCCTTATTCAAAGATCTCCTTCTCAATTTTTAGTCCTAGCACAGTGAGAATTTCAAATCCTGCTACCTCATAATATGCTGAGGATAGTGACCTTGTTCCTAAACAGGACGTGTCAAATCCTTCGGATTTCAGAGGTATTACCTTCAAAAAAACAACAGTTGACCTTGAAACAACCTTGAACATAACCTTCAAGATCAATTCCAAGGTCATCAATTGGTTTTTTTACTCGAAAATCAGGCTTTTTTCGAAAAACATAAAAGAGTAGTAATTTGTAGAAAATTGAAAGACGAATCCGAATATCATGGTTGTTAGCGTAAAGCAGTGACGTACTATTTTATTAAGAAAAAATATGCCACCGATACCCCGTATCTTAGCCCCTGGAGCATGTAAATTTTAGGAAAAGCCCTGATTTTGGACAATGTTTACATACATGTGCCCAGTTTCAAATTATTTCACTTACTAGTGTTTTAAATTATTTAAAAAAAATTAAAAATGTTTCTTGAAATTTAACACCCTGTATCTTTTTAATGAAGCGTCCTAGGTAAATACTTTACAGGAAAGTCTCCCTTTAAAATTCACCAAAGAATACGAGGTTTCATTTTTGGTCACCATTTGTGAATCATCCTGTATAATAAAATTTGATTTCATTTAATAAAGATGACGCACTTGAATGTAAGTAAGAAAATAATAATTTATTATAACTGGATTATTATTAATTTGACCTTTTTTTAATTATTAGAAGTATAAACAACAACAAACAATGATTAAAATGTACTTAAACAAACTTGTTACTGCAACCAAACCTGTTTTTCATTGTAGTTTAAAAATGGAAAGAATTCAATGTAATAAAACTTCAATGACTTTCAACAACGACGTAATTTTATTCAAATTCATTGACAATTTGCACGCTTCAATCTGGATCATTAAGTCATTTTTAGGATTGAAATTGTCATGCTCGTAATAGTCGTGTAAACTACGCGAAATTCGGTAGTTCAACACTTGTAATCGCGTTCACTAATTACTCCGACTACACCTACTACAAGCCTTGTATATTAAACTCATGCGTAGAATTAATTTACGCAGAGCTCCGACAAAGTTTTTTGGGGCTATCAGTAATAGGCACTACAGAAGGCTTTCTGCTTGTTTCTAAAAAGCGATTTCCCCAAAAGAGCTTAGAAAACTAATAACTTTGCCAAATAGTTGAGGTTTACTTTGAGGCAGTGAGTTGTAACCAATAATTATGCAAACATGACATAACGGTATACCACAGGGTCCCATTACTGGACTAATATCCTTCTTGATTTAAATTAATGACATCCACTATTTTTTATTGCCGTCACCGCTAACACGCAACATTCATAATACACCGTACCCGCCTACATACAAGCCTCATATTATTATCACGGGTTAATTATATTCCGTCGTGGCGAAAGTCACACGCTTTGAATCGGCGAAGGGCATATTCAAAGTGGAAACCGCACCCAGGCCTTCCCCAAAGAATTTGTATGTAGATGTAGGCGTCGCGATAAAAGCACCCCCTTTATGTTCTAATCCGGGGAGCCCTTGCAGGAATTAACTCAATTTCGGGAGGCTTTCGGTAGTCGCGGCAGAACCCACAACGCCGACATCAGATATGGATGACTTCGAATTCCCTAGATGAGAAACGGATATAAAGCTTAGGTCTGAGTTCTTTAAAATATACATAAGCAACTCTATATGCCGAACGGGAATAATGTTATTGGAGGTGAGATTTCTCGCGCGGTGCCACCGAAACGCTCGATAAATTCGTTTATAGGCGGCGGCAAGTAGTAGTAGCAGTAATTGAACTTTTTTTGTTAATATTACATTATTGGCAATTGTTAAAATAATAAAAACTATTCTTGATGTACTGACATGCGAAAGTCTACGAAGGGAATCTGGCGGAAATATCAAAATGCGATTGAACGTCTACCTTGGTCATCCGTAGATCATTAACTAGTATCTGGCGTTGTACGACGTATTGTTCATACTGACAAAGGAGTTATGCTACCGAATAGCTGATCTTGAACACTGAACACAGAACACTGTTTTCATTGCTACAAGAACAAAAAGAAAACAACGTAGGAAACAAGCGAATACGCCGCTTCTGAATCTTCGCGGGCCAAGTTAAAAATCTCTCTACGATAGCCCGGAATGTAGTCCTTTGTACTAGGAGATTTACAGTCCCCCATGCCTAATTTTGCCGGGTAGCCTACCCCGAAGCCCTGTGAAATTGCGTTTGCTGCAAAAGTCTCGGGATTAGAGAATGGGGACAGAGCTTTATCGCCAAGCCCGCATTTCCAAGCTGTTCCTCAGGGATATTAAACACCACTTGATACAAACGTGTAAAATTTTACAAACAGATTCAAAACTGGAGTGAAACTTGTTGGCAAACCCAAAAGGTTAGAAAAATTTTACAATTTTGAATTGATGGCAAACTTGAATTTGACTTTCATCACATATCGTAAGGTGAAACTAAGGTCAACTTAATATCAACACGCTATTTTCTTACAAAGGTACAAACAATAATGTGTACAGGGTGTTTCATAATGATGTGCAAATATTTTAAGGATGTGTTTAGAAAATAATTTTAATTGGGGTACTTTCAATATATTTTTTTTATTTGAATCAGAAAATATTCAAATTTCAAAATGGCCGAAAAAATTAGCTTTTATTTTTTATACGAAAACAGTTAAACTTAAAAAGAGTGACCGCAAAGTTAGCCTATTTCCTCAACTTTGCCAGAGGCCTTAAAAAAAATCCTAAAAATATTCTGCATATGTCAAATTATTGCGGTAATGAAAAATAAAGATGAGCATAATTTTTATTTTTTCGACATTTTTCGAAAAAAAAATTATTTCCTATTTGTAAGATTTTATTTTATGGAAAAAATACAATAAGAAATGTTTTTATTATTATTGACATTATTCATATATTTCAGTTTTGCGCCATCATATCAACCCCTAATTAGGGGTGATATTCGACATTTTTCGAAAAACTAAAAAATATGCTCATCTTGATTTTTCATTACCAATAATTTGACATATGTAAAATATTTTTAGGATTTTTTTTAAGGTTTCTGGAAAGGGTGCGAAAATAGGCTAAAAATATGCTGTTTTTGCGGTCACTCTTTGAATTTTGGTAAACGTTAATAACTAGTTGAATGGTATGTTTTGGTAGTCTTTTTTTTTCTGGTTTATGTCTTTGAATGAAAGAAATTACCACCCCTTGGATTTACTTCTCTCACAACTTTTTTCTACGTTAGCCAATTTCAACAAGTAAAATAGTTTTTAATACTACATTTCAACGATCGTCATTTTGACGCATTATTTGCAAAAATTATCTAAACATTTAATAAAAAAAATGAAACCTAATTTTTTCGCCCATTTTGAGATTTGAATATTTTCTCAGGGGGATCAAATCGAAAAAATGTATTGGAAGTACCTCTCCCCCCCCCCTGAAAATTACTTTTGAAACACCTCCCTAAAATATTTGCACATCATTATGAAACACCCTGTATAAACGTAATAGAATTTAAGAGACATCATGAAATGCGTTCTATATTGATTGCATTGGTGATAAGATACATTGAATATCTCATCTGAAGCCACCACGGATTCAATTTGATGTATCAACAATTTTGGACGAAAATTACTAAAAAAATTCGTTTCCTTCATTTCCATTCAGTTCAAATTTTATTTATTTTTAACTCTGATGGCGAGAAAGTGTGCAAAGCAATTACATATAGCGATTTTTCAACCTCCGTTAGGCGAAACGTTAAATTTTCACAACTGAATTCATTGCCAGAAAAAAAAGAAATCAGCTACCCTGCTTCAATTTCCAACCCACGCGAGGTGACGCTCGAATAAAATTACGAATTATAGAAACGTTACCCTCGGCTAACTTCCGAGACTGTAATACGGATACGTTCGCGACTGAAACATCTCATTTCAAAAGAAAAACCTATTTTACATAACAAATACCGAAACCCGCTTTCCATTCGAAAAATTTCACAATTTAGGCGACGCGGGAGAAGGTATTTATTTCTCCCTTACGTCATAATGATATCCGGGGCCCAGATGCTGATTCAAATCTAAATATCCCATGAAGGGAATTCAAGTGTAAATGATGTAAGGGTCGTTTCAGGTGAGTACCTACGGGAATTTGGCGTTACGCTAGTTTTCTGAATTAAATTTTGATGCGTTAAGAATATCGATTTGTTTTTCTCTTTGAAGCATTACACTGATATTTGCCGATTCATGTCGCTCTGCCGAGAAACACAATTTATATATATGTATATGTTCCGGGTTCATACATATCGCGGAAGACTTCTCATTTGGCGATTTGAACGTTTTTGTTGCGGAAATCTCATCTCAGAAGGAGATGATATCACTTTTCTCATATTGCGGATATTAGGACAACTCGCTGTTACGGCACGCTCATCTTGTCCGACCAAAATGAAAAAAAAACACGAACGCACCACTTCCATTTGATCAAAATTACTTTCCATGTTCTTTGAATTTCGACCTTCACGATCTGTCAATTCAGAGACGCCCTTGCTTTTATTTGTGTTCGCCAATTGTGTTCTTATTTGAATTTATCGTTAATCTTCTAAATAATCAGTATTT